GCTGTAGTGCCAAACTCCACCTCAGCAGTCTGCCATTGTCTCCTGAGACCCAGTTAAGCCACACGAGGGGGTTATGGTCCGTAATAAAGGAAAATTCTTGTCCATACAGATAAGGGCTCAGTTTCTTCAGTGCCCAGACCAGGGCTAAACACTCTTTTTCCACTGCCGCATAACTTACTTCCCGGGGTAGTAACTTTCGGCTTAAGTATGCGACAGGGTGCTCTCCTCCATCTTCCCCGACCTGGCTTAGCACAGCCCCCAGTCCATACATGGAAGCATCTGTATGTACAAGAAAACGTTTGTTAGGGACTGGGGCAGCCAGGACAGGAGCATTAACAAGAGCTTGCTTCAGTGCCTGAAACGCGGCTTCACAAGCTGGAGACCACAGGACCTGCTTAGGCAAATTCTTCTTAGTCAGGTCAGTCAAGGGCTTGGCAACCGTACTGTAGTCGGGGACAAAACGTCGGTAATACCCTGCCGTCCCCAGGAAAGCTAGCACTTGGGTCTTGGTGATAGGTGTGGGCCAGTTAGCTACAGCCTCTACCTTGGCTGGCTCCGGTTTCTGGCTCCCACAGCCTACTCTGTGACCCAAGTACTGTACTTCTGCCATGCCTAGATGGCACTTGTCTGGCTTCAAGGTCAGGCCTGCGGCCCGAATCTTGTCCAGCACCACCCCCACGTGTACTAAATGGTCTTCCCAGGACTCACTGTAGACCGCAATGTCATCCAGGTATGCACATGCGAATTCCTGGAAGCCATCGAGGAGCCTATCCACCATACGCTGAAAGGTAGCCGGAGCATTCTTCATCCCAAATGGCATAACCTTAAACTGGTACAGGCCAAATGGGGTGACGAAAGCCGACTTAGGGATAGCATCCTCGGCCAGGGGGATCTGCCAATAACCTTTACATAGGTCAATGGTGGTCAGGTAGCGCCCCCTGGCAATGCGGTCTAATAACTCGTCTACCCGAGGCATAGGGTAGGCGTCAGTGGTGGTCCGCTCGTTGAGCCGCCTGTAGTCCACACAGAACCGGGTGGTCCCATCTTTCTTAGGCACCAGAACTACAGGCGAGGCCCAAGGGCTGTCTGAGTGTTCGATAACCCCCAGCCTGGTCATCTCCTGTATCTCCTTCCGCATTCCTTCTCAGACTGCTTCAGGGATACGGTATGGGGGTTGTCGTAGGGGGTTCTGTCCGGGTGTCTCGACCTTGTGTACAGCTAGGGTAGTGTACCCGGGTTCTTGGGAGAACGTGGCCTGCTTCTCCCACAGTAATTGTCTTGCCTGTACCTTCTCTGCCGGGTTTAGTCGGTCCCCTAGCTGTACAAGACTAGTAAGGTCTGTCTGGGGGTCCCTCTCTAGCAAGTCAGGTAACGGTAAGTTCTCGGGGTCGTCAGTAGCTGGGGCACATACTGCCGCAACATCCTCTGGTCGTTCCTGATACTCCTTCAGCATGTTCACATGGAAGGATCGCTGAATCCTTTCATCTGAACAGCTGGCTATAAGGTAGGTAGTATCGCATACCTGAGCTAACACTTTATACGGGCCCTGCCAAGATGCTTGCATCTTGTTCGTCTTCACAGGCTTGAGTACCAGAACCTTCTGCCCAACCTGGAAGATCCGCTGTCGGGCACCCCGATCGTACCACCGTTTCTGTCTCCCCTGGGCCGCCTGGAGATTCTCCCTTACCATCAGGGATAGTTTCTCCATGCGGTCCCGGAGTTCCAGGACATATGGTACTATGGGGGTCCCTTCTTGCTCTGTCTCCCCCTCCCAGTGTCCTCTAATGAGATCTAGGGGTCCACGGACCCTTCTCCCATAGAGTAACTCAAAGGGGGAGAACCCAGTAGATTCCTGGGGCACCTCTCTGTATGCAAATAGCAGATGAGGCAGGAATCGCTCCCAGTCTCTGCAAGTGTCAGTAAAGGTCCTCAACATCTGTTTGAGGGTGCCATTAAATCGCTCGCAGAGACCGTTAGTCTGTGGGTGATAAGGTGAGCTAAGCAGAGGTTTAATACCGCACACCTTCCACAGCTGCTGGGTAAGCACAGCGGTGAACTGGGTTCCCTGATCGGAGAGGATCTCCTGAGGGAACCCGACCCTAGTGAAGATTTTAACCAGGGCATCAGCAACCGTCTCTGCCTCTATATTGGACAGTGCTACTGCCTCTGGGTAACGTGTGGCATAGTCCACCACGGTGAGAATATACTTCTTACCTGATGGACTAGCCCTGGCCAGTGGACCCACAATGTCAACGGCTATGCGGGAAAAGGGTTCTCCAATGATAGGCATCGACTGAAGCCTAGCTTTTGGGTGATCCCCCCGCTTACCTACCCGTTGACAGGTGTCACACGTGCTACAATAGACCCGCACATCTCTGTTAAAATTGGGCCAGAAGAAATTTTGCGTGATCCTATGAGCTGTGCGGCGGGAACCTAGATGGCCGGCTAATGGCACATCATGCCCAATCAGCAGAATCTCCTGCCGGTATTTTGTGGGCACCACTAGCTGTCGATTCTGCGGAGGGGTATTCGGCTTCTGGGGCGGTTTCGGGATCCTGTAGAGTCTATCCCCCACCCACTCGTAGTGCTCCCCATCTACTCCTTCTCCCCCAGAATCGGCCCTGGCCCTGTACTTTGCTAGCGTCGGGTCTTCCCTGGTTTCCTTCCCGTATATCTCTGGGGTATCCCAGCCTAAAGGGGCCTGGTCTAAGGTACAAGTCGGGGTAGAGAGTCTTACCTGGGTCTCAACAGCAGGTGGGCCGGTCTCGGCGGCACGGGTCTGGGCACGGGTCGTGACAGCGTCCACTTCAGCAGGACCCATGGGAGCGTAGGCGGAAACAAGGGGCGCCAAGTCATTGCCAAGGAGGACATCCGCTGGTAAGTCCTTCATGACCCCCACATTCACATGTCTAGCGCCCACTCCCCAATCCAAATGTACCCGGGCAACGGGCAGACGGAACACGGCACCTCCAGCTACTCGTACGGCGACCGTGTCCCCTGTATGTTGGGCTTCGGATACCAGGTGTTTCTGGAGCAAAGTCATGGTTGCCCCGGTATCCCGTAGACCACTGACCTCCTTCCCATTGACTTTTACACATTGTCGGTGGTGCTGCCTGTTATCCCGGTGGGCAGCCTGAACGGGGTCTGCCTCATGCAGGATGCCCCAGCACTCCTCTTCCTCTACACAGTGAGCGGCTGGGATGGGGGGTCGTGGATTGCCGCCGGCTGGTCTCCTCCAGGACTGGTTCTGGTTAGGCGCTGTTCATCGGGCACTCGGGTCGCTTGTGCCCTAGTTGCTTGCACAGGTAGCACCGAATGGGTTGGGCATACTCCCGTGAGTTGAACCGAGGTGGCTGCTGGTACGGGGCAGATGGAGGCGGTGCCGATGGGCGATTCATGGGAGGCTGGTATAGGTTGGCTGCTATTGGTGCTGTTGGCCTGTATTCCACTCTGGCGGGAGCCTTGCTGATGAGACTGTCCAGTTTGCGGGCGTCGGTATACTCATCCGCCAGGCGAGCTGCTTTGTGCAGAGTGGAGGGTTTGCGGTCCCTTACCCACTCTCTGACCCCTGCTGGCAATTTATCAAAACAATGTTCCAAAAGAAACATCTGCAGCACCTCTTCTCCGGACACAGCCTGGCACCCCGCCATCCAGTGGGCGGCTGTGCGATGCACCTTACATGCCCATTCCACGTATGAGTCCCCAGAGGTCTTGACGGTGTCTCGGAACCTCCTCCGGTATGCCTCAGGTGTAACGGCATACCGGGAGAGTAAAGCTTCCCTGACGGCCACATAATCCCCAATCTCCTCATCAGGAATGGCCCGAAATGCCTCGCTGGCCCGGCCGGATAACTTGCCGGACAATATAGTGACCCAGTCTTCCAGGGGTACCTTGTGCAGGGCACATTGCCGCTCAAAATCAGCAAGGTACCCATCGATCTCTCCTTCTGTTTCACTGAAGGCTTTAAACGCAGTGAATGGTACCTTTTTCCTTTCCCCCGGGTTTGCTGTGACTGGGGCTGCTGCAGCACCGCTTTGGCGAAGCAGGTTGGCCTCCACAGCTGCCATGACCCGGTCAATGGTCTCTATAGTCGGGTTGGGACCATAATGGGCCAGCCTGATTCTTACCGCCCGGTCAAAGCTTGCCTCCTCGGGGGTTCTGTCAGCTGCGCTGGGTCCATTGGTTCCCTCTGCCGCTGGTACTCCATCCATTTCCAGCAATAACGCAATAATATCCCTCTTCCTGAGGTTACTGGCTTGTCCCCCTCTTTGCTCCAATAAATCCTTTAGGGTAGCCCTCCTCAGGTTTTGGTATTGTAATTCCATTTAGTCCTGGTTGTAATGGTCTCTTTGGGCGTTGAGGATCATCCCACCGCTGCCACCAGTTGTTACGGTACCTCCAGGAACGAAATGTACAAACCGCCGTTTAGCGAGTATTCCCCGTTCGCAATAATGTGGTCGGGTAGCGGGTATCATAAAACCATGCGAACGCCAGTCAGGGAACACTCCAAACTCCCGAACGGTACCTGTACGGCTAATTCCCTTCGCAAGCCGCAAATCCACGAACGGCAATTAATAACCGAACGACAATCTCTCCCAAGCGGCAAATAATCCAAGTAAGCAGTCTCTCGCCGCTAGTATCCAAATCCCCCCAATAACGAGACCAAGCTCCGCTTTGAGGGTAAAACACGAACTGGTTTACTGTGGGCTACCTGCCCGGTATTTATGCAGGTCTCCCACTTGGTGGACACTCCCCTAGGGGACCAAATGGGAGACTGAAATCACAGAGGGACATGGGGACATTCTGGACATACATCCCCACAATATTCCCAGCATGCAGTACAGTTCCCTCCCCTCTGCTCGGGGAATAATTGGGAAGTAATTCAATTATCTCCCCGAGCAGAGGCAATCGCCATTTTAGATACAAGTTATAAAAACACACAAAAATCCATAACTTAATAACTGCTGAACATTTTACATCAGTCTTGCATATCCCCAGATAGCCTGGATCTGAGGGCACATTATTGGAGAATAGCGCTCAGATCCCATTCGCACAGTTCAATCGCCATGGAGTCAAAGTCTCTTTCAGTTCTTCGGTATGCGATTGACTCCATGGGACGGCTATCTGGGTTAAGTCCATTCGTGTGGTTGAATCTCCCGAACGGCTGTCGTTCGCATGCTTTTGTCGATTGAGAAGGGGAGGTCGACGGCTTCAGCGGTGTTCGGCTGAAAAAGTGTCCGTTTTCCGATCCATGAAATAATCGCTGAACACCGCTGGTTGTTCGCATGGACAAAATGGCCGCCGCCTCGTGGTCGACATACGAACGACGACCACCCGGCATTCGGTTTTTAATTGAGAAGTGTCTGTGGTTAACCGCAACGTTCTAATTGGGATCAATAGGTTAACCAGCAGCACACTTCTCTTCTGGGTGGCCGTCCCTTTCGGTAGTTCCGTTCGACAAAACCGACATTCCCTTAAACAAAGCATACGAACGGGGAAATTCATGAAAACGGCAAAACAGACGAACAACGCAGTTATAATCCAGACAGATGGGTCTGTCACAATCAGCCACAGCAGTGAGCAGGGGAGGGCTGGCAGCCTTAGGCCTGGGGGGCAAAACCAGTCAAGTGGCCCATTGCACCACCAAATCAGTTCACCATCCATGCCCACCTTTTCCTGGTTTTATAACGGATATTGATGTTATGCTAATCAGTGGCTCTTTGCCATACCCGCTCCTTCACGGCTCCAGGCACTGCTTGTTGTGAGTGTGAGCCACTGTAAATTAGGGGCAGTGGGTACTTGCACTGCGGTAAAGATGGGGCTGGGCAGGAGGAGAGTGCAGTGCAATCAGTGCACTCCCCTCCTGTGGGTCACCAGTAGACTGGTGCACCTGCCCAGGATCAGTGCCGGTGCAAGGATTTTTGCCGCCCTAGACAAAATAAAAATTTGCTGCCCCCATGTGACATCACAATGCCCCACCCATATGAACTAACGCCAGTGCTGCACACAGTGTGTGTTTACATTAAAAAGCCTGCAGGGACCAGCTATAGACACCAGAACCACTCCATTAAGCTATAGTGTCCCTTTAATGTGAGGTACATTATAGATTAGTGTCACTAATAATATACTAGATTGCCTACTTACAAGCAGATGAGGATGATGATAGGCTGCAGTTTGGCTCCACTGGTCTGGTGTAGAACAGGATCTCTGGAGGGTGTTTGCAGCTGTGGTCACAAAATTCAATGTTCTGGGAGAATTGGAAGCAGCTTCATTTTTTGGGGCCCCTTACACAGCTCAAGGTCTGGGCCCCAGGGCCTGACGGTGAGTATGCCCATAAGGCCCACTCATAAGTTCCACCCACCCATAAGTTCGCTCACAGGGAGAGGAGTGTGTAGGGGATGTGTTATGTGTTATTGTAGAGCATCTAATATGTGTGCTTATGGTATGTAGTGTATAGGGTTACCAGTTTGTGCAGGTGATGTAGTGTGTTTGTGTGTAGTGGAAGCAGTGTGTATTTGTGTATAAGGGATGTATTATGTGTTTCTGGTTGTGTGTAAGAGATGCATTGTGTTTCTGTGTGTATGTAAGAAAAGAAGTGTGTGTGTTTGCATGTGTGTGTACGGATTTGCATTGTCTGTTTCTGTGTATGTGTGTAAAGGATGCATTGTCTTTGTGTGTAAGGGTTGCATTGTGTGTGTG